GCGCGTGCCGGCGTCGCACAGCGCTTTGCGAGACCGTCGTCTGGGGGCGAAGAGAACGGGTGTACGTAGTGATATAATCCAATAATCAATTATTATCGTCAAATGTATCGGAGCATGGTCGGCGCAGCTGGAACTGATATACAGCGTGCATAACAGCTGCGAACAGTGTTGTGCACCAGTGAAAATATTGTGACCTACAATGAGTATCGGTGTTGAGAACACTGTCCCTGCACCGTCGGAAACACCTTGAAGAAATGTTGCGAAACTGTGCTCCACATCGGGAATGAGCGTGCAAAACACCTGTGAGAGGCGTAAAAATGTCTACTTGAGGTGTTTTGCACATTTATTCTCGACAGCGCACAAAAATGTCAAGAACACCTTTTTCAGTTGTTCTCTCCCTCCTGTTCCGAACACCTCTAACAAATGTAGATCCTTCCCACAGTGTGAACAAACACCGGGCCCATGTTGTCTGGGTCTATCGATGAGGTCGAGATATCCACAGAGCGGCAGCGCGATGCCGCCTGACCTTCTGGAAGGTGTAAGACCCTATAGCATCGATGGCAACGTTGACGCGTCCGATGACCACCACATGTCCCATACCGCGATACAAATTGTGTACGCTCACATTCTGCGGCCTGTAACTCAACATCATCTAGATATCCCCGAGGTCGAAATCCGACACCTGGATCTCCGTCCCGTTCACCAAGAACAAGCTCAAGATCCCATCCCCGCCCGCAGCGGTGTCCAGCCTATACCTGTCGAAGAGCGGCTCCCATCCGCACCCGCTCGGCGCCTCCCATACCGCCTCCCAATCGCGGAAGTGTCCAGCCGCGGTGCTGCGTAAGATCGTAATCGCTGTCGAGTTCGGCGCATTTGACGGGAGGATAGCCAGGAGGGAGCCGTGCGGTGAATTTGGGGGCGCGACAAGCTTGCCCCGTTTCCCGATTACGGTGGGCGTGCCGGTGATGTTGTTCGCGCTGACTAGCTCGGGGGCGAGGGGAAGTGGCGTACGCGTCCAGTGCGCAGTCGTGCTCCGCCAGTAGTGGTACCTGACGTGACGGTTAGCGGAATATTGGGAGGCGAACGATCTGGGCGCACCATTGCTCGACACCGGTCGTGTTTTCCCGATTCAGGACATGGATGCGACCCTCGCTATCGACTGTCTGTGCCTCCTGGTTCAGGATTCCACTGCGCCGTCGTTAGCAGAGACCCCCCGGTTGAAGGTGACGCTAATCTACTCACCCGTACTTCGGAATACCGAAGATCGTGATACCGGCAGAGACGGGAACGATCGGCAGCTGCGCCGTCATGTTCGCAATAGTCTGGTTCCAATTATTCAACCACGTCTCGCCGAGGTCGGTGCTGAACGCAAAATTCATATCGTGATTCTGGAAGGTGTCATGAGTATCTATAAACGTTTGTAGGTCATTGAGAGACCGCGTACGTTCTCGGGACCGTTGGGGCCGGCCTGCACAGCGACATTTTGACCAGTATCATTGACAAAGTCACGGTATGTCCTGCGGTAAAGTGAATATATGCGCCTTCAAAAACATTGTAAAGCGCGTACCAGGTGGTTTGCAGGTTTCCTCGTGGGTCGAAGTCGATGCCGTTGATGTATGCGTTATCTTTGAGGAGAATCAACCGGCTGCTGGCAGCTAACAAGGTCCGAACTTACTGTTGACTCCCTGGACACGAGAGAAGGGTCTGATAAGCACTTGTTTGGCGGAAGACGATTGCTCTCGAACCTCAAGATATCTCCCAATCTGCGCCCACCCCTCGTTGGGCGTGTACTTGTACAACCAATCGTCGCCAAGCCCCGAGCGCCCGACCCGCAATTCCAGAATGAGGTCCGCACCTGCGTTGTTTTCTTGCTGGGAGGTCGGCACCGCCAAGAATCGCGGATACGTGACATTTATGAAGTACACAGACTTGTCGAGCGACTCTAGTCCCGGGAGATGATCCTATACAGACCAAGGTCAAGAGAGGAGTGCACAATGTGGTTAACCAGACGTACCAGAACTGGACCAAACACTGAAGATGACCATTCCGTCTCTACAGGGTTTGTGGCGACCCCTGCATTGGAAACGCGATAGTTCAAGTCGTTGTCGTGTTGGTCGAATCCGATGTGAAGTGTGCCGTCTCCGCGAGATATTCCGAGGGATATTCTTGCGTGGCGCAATAAATTCAGGAAAGGCTCCCCGCGCGATTATGGAACACATGCTTACATGTCGTGCCCGTCGTCCTCAGTTTGATTGTAGTCCGCGAAGGAAAAGGAATCCCAGGACGTCTTGTCTCCCTTCAGAGCCCTGCGCGCGAGCGACGGATGCCTCACGGACGCGTTCACGGCGTCGTTCACATAGAACGCGGCGTATTGGTAACCTGTAAACCAGTTTAGTGCACGCCTGATTCTCAAAAAGAGGCCACTCACCATTAAATGTCACCAACGCGTCCTGCTGAAACGACTCCCCATTCAGCCTGTTCACCGTCTGCGGGTCCTGTCCTAGCGTCGTAACATACACCACGCGCAGACTTGCCGCGCACGCTCCGCACGCAAAGAGCGTGAGCGTCGCGAAGAAGACCCTCATCACTGCGAGCGAGGGGGGTGGTTTCGTGCGCCATCACCAGTGTCGCTATTGCCTTTTGAGCAGCAGCTTGGCTGTGTGCGGACCGCTTGAAGGGAGAATTTCGGGTGGCATGACCTGGTCATCATGGTCAACATCGAGGTCGTGACCAGAGTGCAACGCGTGCAACGACTTCCGAAAAACCAGGAACAACTGCAGGATGATGGCGGGCCGCGAGCTCGACACGCGCGCCTTCGCCGGCTCGCTTCTCACCCTTTCTCACCACGATGATGACAACATACGTCCGAGTCTGCCGCACAGTTCGGCGTCTTGATACTCTTCGACGACAACCACGACGACCATGGCGTTTGACCTCGGAACCCCCGTGAACACGGCGCTGCTGCTCTATATCTTGTACTCTATCCAGCGGATCATCTACCCGTCGAGCTCGGTGCCCAAGACGGTCCCGAACGAGTTCAAGAATGGGTACACTTGGATGCCCAAGGCGCACCCGCCGACGCTGCTCTACCAAACGTACACCCCGAAGACCCTCTCTCCATTCAACGGGCAGGAGGGGAAGCGTATCCTCCTCGCGATCAAGGGCGTGGTGTACGATGTGACGGCGGGGAGGAACTTCTACGGACCGAGTGAGTACTCGTTAATTCTGCGGTGATAGTCGTGTCTCACGCCGAGCAAGACGGCATGTACGCCAACTTTGCCGGACGCGACGCGTCCCGCGGCATGGCGAAGCAGTCTTTCGATGAAGGTGCGTATACAGAGCTTCACAGTACGCATACATCCCGTCGTTATTGACGGTCCTGGACAGAGATGCTCACGCCCATCGACCAACCTCTGGACAAGCTCGATAACCTCACTGCCGAGGAGATGTAAGTCGGAACAACTTGCTATCCTTGCTTTTCTGACCCTCTCGATGCGGTCGACAGCGAGAATATGAAGGGTGCGTTTATCCCTCAGCATGACATGGTGCAGCTGCTGACGCCACGCCAGGTTGGATGGAGCATTTCTCCAGCAAGTACATCGTATGCGGAAGGCTTGTCGAGAATGACGCGGTCTGATATGTGCTACGTACACCTCTCAACATGCGTCGTTTTAGCCCCATTGATATTGCATCCCTGCAAAAGACGGCGACGCAACTGTGCGGCCAACTCTTGTGAGAACCTTCTCAAGGGCATTCGTGCAGTTGTGCTCCTATTAGCTCGTCGGGTTGGTCGACGTCGTAGAGGGTCCCTTGAACGTCTAGGGACGAGACGTTGCAAAGATTCGGCGTACAAAGAGGACAGAACAACCTCCTTTGAGTTGCGTTCAGAGCATGACGGTGACAACATGTGGAACACGAAGCACAAAGACGACGACGAAGAGGACTTAGGAGGCGCTTCAGCCTTCCTCTGCTGCACATCCACGGCCGATTCCATCAATATCATAACTCAGAGATACAACAGTAAGCATGACTGCATTTTTGAGAACAACCCTGGTCGTATGTGCGTCGCTCCGAATGTTAGAAACCGTACAAATGAGGTCGCGATTCATACTAGGTATCATGAACGTTGCATCTAGGTCTATTGCTACAGCCTCGGTTGCTAGATTGTAAATACTTATGTGCGTGAAATCGTCCGTTGCGTAGAGCGTTATTGTCTTGTAGCCAATGCCGTGATGAGAATATCGTAATCCAACTTTGCCACTGCAAGATATTGTCAGTATCGACACCCCAAGTTCGCGAATGAGGAAGCTTACCCTTCAGGACCAGTCTCGTGAACGCCCGCGCCAGCTCCGGGTGCGCCTCCTCGAGACTCGCTAAGTCCTCTCTACTGAGCTTCCACACTACCGCCGCGCGCTCCACCACGCACGTCGCGTTCCTCTCCAGCCCAGACAGGGCGGACAGCTCGCCCGCAATCGTCCCGGGCACCATCGACTCGACCATCGGCGGCGTCGGGTCCGCGAAGCGGTACGTCGCGCGCAGAATGCCCGACTCGACAATGTACAGCCCATCCGGGGCCTCGTCCTGGTTCCACAGCACCGTCCCCGCGGGAACGGACATGCGCAAGAGGTACGGGATGAGCGGCGCGTAGGTGTCCCGGTCGATCGGTTCGTAGGACGAGAAGGCGCGAACTAAAGTGCTGAATGGCTCTCGGGCATCCAGCGGATCGGGAGGACTGTGGTCTACAAAATTGATGTCAGCACAGCATACGTAGAGAGTGCGTGCTAGGGGACTAACCACGGGCAATCGTCCGCCAGCCGGCATCTACCAGTGCTGTCCTCCTGGGACTGTCGATTACCGACCCGTGGAACGGAATTACATTGTCTTGTCGGCCGGGCAGAGCTGCGCGCATATTCAGACACCAGGTATGACTAAGGAAACGTTCCCACTCACCGACTGGAAGAGTCTCAGTCTTCTGCGCCCTGAACCACGCTCTCAAGTAGATGTTCTCCGTCCCTACAAACCGGCGGACATCAGCAAGATGTTCTCCCCGATGAAGTCCAGTGAAGCAGAACTCACATTCGACTGCATCACTGAACGTCTCGAACAGCTCGACGCCACCCATCTCCAACAGACCCACATTGCCCAGTCCGCGTCCGACCGGGCTGTCAACGGTGCACCCACACAGCACCAACACAACCTTTTTTCCGGCCAGCAGTCGGCGCACGCGCACAAATGCTTCCGCGGCACTCATGTCGACCCCCGCCACGAGCGACAGGTCGAGCACGAGGAAGCGGATCGGGCTCCGGCGCCACGTGGGCTCGTCTAGTAGCGCCCGAATCGCCTCCTCGACGTGCGCAATCGTGCCGAAGAACATGAAGCCCTGCAGGCGGAGGATGGTCGTCTGCTTGGACACCTCGCGCAGGTATGCGCGGTGCGCGCCTGGGCGACGCACGGTCGACATGACGCTTTCGCCCGTGTGCAGCGCGCGGATGCTCCGACGCTGCGAGCTTTGGACGACGAAGAAGATGCCTGGGGGACTGTGAGCGATGGATGGCGGGATATATGCGCGGGGAACGTACAGCTGACGATGATGCCGAAGAGCACCCCAGTGACGAAGTCCCACACTGTCATGCAGAGCATGATACTCGCGATGGTGATGTACTCCGAGGTGCTCACGCGATGCCGCGTGTCCCAGAGGGCCTCCTTGACGAGGTCGATGCCTAGCACAAAGATGAGAGCGCCCACCAGCATGATGGCTTTAGGAAAGTCCACATGTCAGCATGCGCACAAAAAAAGACTGCCAAATTGCTCACGAATGTATGCGATCGGCCCCGTCCCGACCAGCAGAAGGACTGTGGTAGCACCCGCGAGGAGGAAACCAGAGACACGAGTGTCGCCGCCCACACGGTAAAACCTGCACATATGCGTCAATTTCTCGTCACAGGAGGACGATGATGGACGAGTACGAACAACAACGTGTTAACGTAGACGAGATAGTTAGGACTGTAATTCAGGTGGCCGTCAGCGAGCGGAATCTTGTATCACGGAGAGTACGAATACTGCTTACACTGTGCCAATTAAGCCTGCAAGCAAATTAGAGTACCCATGCGCGACCAGTTCTTTGTCAGTGTTCACATCGTGATGCAGCGAGACAGCTAGATTAAATATGAGCACCACGGTAAGCACTTGCAAGGTTGGCTGACGCACCCAACGCGGGCACGTTGAGAGGCGGATGCAAGATATTGAAAAACAACCTGTCTCGCTCGATTAGCTGAACTACCCCACCGCCAAACAAAATATATCACTCACAAAGCAAATTGCGTAGGCATGGTCGCCCAGAACGCCGGCCAGTCCATCGCCTTGAGGTCTACGCCCTAGGATGAGCTGTATGCTCACGGAGAAGCGAGTTGAACCCACGCACCGTACAACGAGTAAAAGTAATACCACGGCTCCCTTGAGGTGCCCATGTCGAACAGCCAGCCCGCTTCCCTCAGTGCCACAAGGTCGAGATGACCTGCGGCGACTACGATATAGAAGATCACAGGAATGATACAAAAATCTAGAGAAGGGCAGAATAGCTCAGCCACGTTCGACAAGTGCGATGCAGCAAGGTGTGACAACTCACAGATGGGGAATATGAGTTGGTGGTCCCACTTGTGAGTGATAACGCGTAGTAACACGGCGAGGCCGAATGCGGGCAGCCACATGACGAGGTTGTGCGCATTCAAGACGAGGTACTTGAAGGTCCCCAAGGAGAGCGAGAAATCATCGTCTGACATCCCCGTACTAACGGTAAGCCTGTTCATAAACCGGGATTAGAGACTCTGGAATATCGCATCATAAGTGAACGGTTATGCTTACCCGGTGATGACTAGGAAGACGCCGACGCCGCCGATGCATCTTATGAATGCTGCGTATCAGTGAAAGGTGCCGCATATACCCGGTCATTATGGCGTACCCTACGAGGATATGCCGCGGAAAGAATCCGATCAGCGAACCTAACCTCAGCGCTCCGAGAAGGAAGAATGTAATGCCTGCGAGGGTGTCAGGTGGGCGGTGTACAACCACATGTCCAGACGATCGACTCACCAGTCAAAATGGAAGAGAAGGCAAATGCGACCATCGTGGTAGCGATCACAACGCGAGGTTTGTCCTCGCCAACATCTTCTGCTATCTGGTTTGCGATGAGATGGAAGAAGGGCTGCAAAGCGATGATGTAAGGCGCAGGTAAGGTTGCTGTGCGAGCAGATTACTCACAACGACCTCGATCATCATACTGCCATTGGCTCCCGCAAACCCGCTCGCACCAGCCGAATATATGAGTTGGGTAACGATCGCGCTAGACGAAGCCGGTCAGACGGGCGATATGGAAAACTCGAGTATGAGGACTTACGTGACGAAGAACATAGAAACACCGGCTCCCCCGAGACCCGTGAACACGCCGGCAGCAGGAAAGATGAGCATTCCGTCTATGAGAAGGTCAGTTGAGCCTCGGGCATCAACCGAAGGTCTCTGACGTACAGGATACGCCGTCTAGAATGTTCAGGAGCGTGCCGAGGATGACGGCCGGGATTGACTTCAACCCGTCCTTCAGCACGGGACCGGAACCCTTGGATATTCGAAGAGTGATATCCTTGACTGCGCCTCTCGTGCCGCGCTTCCCGACAGGTTCTGGTTGAGCGTGACCATTCGTGTGATACGTCTGGTGATTTGCCTCAAGGTCGGATAGAAGTGGGACAGACTCGTTGGAATGCAACGGTTCTTCCGAGGTCGGTGATGCGCTGCGGCTCTCCCGTACGATTGACAGAGGAGCGCCCATATATGTTGGTCTTTCGAGTGTTGGCGTTGCAGTCGTGGAATCAGCAGTAGGAGACGTTGTTGTGGGTCGGGAGCGTTCGTCGTGGCGAGCAAGAAGCAGAGACAAGCCAGATGGTTGCGACGGGCTCGGGGGAGCTCTGGGTGTCATCTCCCCGGAAGCTGGGTGCGTTGAAAGCGTGGAAGTGGAGGCCTCGAGGTCAGTGACGTCTTCCGCAGGCTTGAACGACAGCTCGGAGGTGAGCGACGCGGGGGTGAGCACGTTTTCATCCTCCTCGTTGGGAGACGCGCCCACGTCGGGAAATATGAACGCTTCTTGTGAGTGTGCGGAAAGTTGAGACGGCGTCTTGAGAGGTATGCTCGAGATCTCCATGGTGCTGTCCCGTATGGTGTCTTGGGTGTGCGCCGCGGGAGGGACGTATCGCGGCCTAGATGACCTCGAGCTCGAAGATACATAACTTCGGGGCTGAAGGCTCAGCAGCCTAGCAATCTCGGGTTGAGAACTGGCCCATAAGGAGATGCTGGCGACAAAAACTGAACTCACCCAGCGCGTGCAATCGGTGAGCCACCTTGCGTGCGCAGGAACGCGTCTATGTCGAGCGTTCCAGGCGAACTAGCGTCATCGGAGGTGACCGCCGCCATTGAAGGCGTAGTAGAGCCTGGGCCAGGAAGCTCGGTAGAAGGGTTGCGCGACATTAGGGTGTATGTGTGCAAAGCATTGGTCGCCGTTCGATAGTTCGAGGAGGAAGAGGGACGAAGACGAGAGGCTGTCGGAGTTCCCCGACTTCTGAGGCCCGGAGAGGTGGTTAAGAGGTTAACCCGGCCAGACCGAGATAAGAGGCGCGCTTGACGCTGTGGGGTCGCGATCGGACAAATGAATTTGATACCGCGGTGAGTACAGCCTATCAAACACCAATGGCAGTCTGGTACATACCTGAGGCCTGGCTTGAGGAGAGTACTGCCAAGAAGCGTCCGGCGATGCTCTCTGGACTCAGCTCCGCTGGACGTGCGACACTGTCCCGGAAGGAGAATGAGGTGGTAAGAGTCGAAGGGAGGTGACCATGCACTGGCAAGGAGTGCAAATAGCCGACCTAGCAGATCTACTTGGAGATCTGCGGTCGAGAAGGGTCCGCTGATTTTCCGCTCCAGGCACGGAAAAGCGGTGATGTGGCCAAATTGGGATGTCACAGAGTCACGCACCGCCAAGTTCGAAAACACGGCTCGACTCTCACTCAATACTTCTCCTCTTCCTCACGTTCGAGCGTCCTGCTACTCAAGCGATTCATCCTGCTGTCTTCTGCGTCTTTTTCTTCATGCACTTCGGTCGATCTCATGCGAGAAGTAAATCGCGCTCGCCTGCACCTGCTGCCGATTCGCCAATATACACACCACAATCAACTCGCCCACATGCTTTCCTACCGCCATCCCACTATGCTGCAGCTGCTGGTCTACCTGTTTCTGGAGATATGCGCGCCTCGTTTGAGCAATACTCTCCCGCTCTGGATCATTCGAGCATAGCATATCCGGCCTTGGACGAAACACCCTCTCCGGACTCCGCGGACACAGCCTCCCACTTCGGAGCAGTCGGTCGGCTGATTGGTAGAAATTCCGGTAAGCGCTCTACAGCGTCCTTGGCTAGATCCGACAGCAAAGGAGACAAGGATAGAGACTTGCGCGACAAGCGTAAGAGCCAATTTGGAGGCTTGCCTCTCCTCGAGGCCCACCTACTTCCATCCCTCCGTGATACTGTGGACAGAATGACCCAGTCGCCAAAGTATCCAATAGATCAGAGCGAGTCTGCCGAATCGTACCAGGCGCCACCGACACTATCATCTTTGTCTACCCGTGTCCCAAGGTCCACTCCGGAGCCTCCTTCCGCCACAAATATTCCACGCTTGCGAACGCAAGCATCCCCCACCCCCAAATCAGCGCTCAAGTCTCCCTCGCGACGTGGGGTTCCCAACACTACTCCAAGTATTTCATCTCCCCAACCTCCGCCATTCAGCTCGAGAACACCTCGTATCTCACCTCGGGATGCACAGCCGGAGTTAGGCACAGGTGTACGTCAATATTCCCTCGATCACTATTATATCCTCATATTGTCGTGTAGCTGGTTCAGCGGGTTCGGAACGATCGCTCGCGCAATGCCACGGCAGCGCCATCCCCTGCACTCAAGCCGATCCCACCAAACGTGCCCTCTGCGTTGCCGAAGCGAAAGACGGATACGAGGTCCAAATCCAACCCGAACACGCCTCAGAACACTCATCGATACTCCGTATTCGCGACTCCTCAACCTGAGAGACCCACCGGTTCCCCATACATCCACAGCTCGCTCCCCAAACCGAAGTCATCGAGAAAGGATTATCCGGTACCCAATGACAGCGGCTCAGAGCTAGAGCGACAAGTGGGGCGCGCGCTCACCCCTGGTCGGCTGATGGTCACGAACGCTGTGATCGTTGCGAGTTCATCGGAGAGCGATCACGAGGCGAAGATTCGCAATCGTCGTTCGCAGTGGCTGAAGCAGACACCCTTGCCTTCTGCTGCTACAACGTCTCGCGCACCCAGCCGGCAGCCCTCAAGGTCTCAAACGCATAGAGATGCTTGCGTCATCTCTTCTGGTCCTCAGCGGAGTCAAGTTTCTATGGCAGTTGGCCTAGGGCTGAAGGTGGACGAAGACTTCGGTTATCGGGGGCGCTTTCCAATTGACGACGATGAAGCTAGCATATACGAAGACGAGTCAGATGCTCACTCTCTCATCATGGACGAACCCGCCCTTGTGGAAGATGATGATGACAGCATATATGCAGATGACCCACCACGACAAGACAGCTTCCAGAGGCGGTCTCCGTTACCTCACCGACAGGCTAATTCTGAGGGACGGTCACGCCAGGAGGCTCTCCGGGGTATCGTTGATGGCTTGCATCGAGACTATGGCGGCACTCGTGATCTCGACGGCGACAGCGAGCTCGTCCAGAGCGAGAGCGAAGATGGTGGTAGCATTCGCGGGCTGGCGATAGGCGGGTCGGCTGACTTGCGAAATACGCCATCGGAGGAACCGAGCTCCCTCCCTCGGGCACCGCCCTTGCACCGAAAGGGGAACACCGTCTACGAATCAGAGGCAAGCCAAAGCGATGATGAGTCGACGTACTCCGATCACGATATCTACGATGCGGCTCAGACTAGGCATGGCGACGACTATCGGCTCTCTCCTAGGCCAGAGGACCACAGATCCGCAGAGAGCGCCCGGTCTCCAGTCTCCTTACGACAGAACCGAACTTCGTGGAAACGGCCTTCGAGCTCGTTAGGCGTGCACGAACGCGCATTCTCAGACCGCCGATCGCCCTCCCCGTCGGCAGGCAGTAGTCGTTCCAGATCTCCTTTGCTTGCTTCCTCTAGTCCTCGCGAACCCGCAGCGGAGGAGTTCCCTACCTCCAGGAAGCCTCCCCATACACGCTCGAAGTCCAGCTATGAGCGATCTCCGACATCTCGGAGGGACCCCCGCCAGGAAGCCGCGCCCCCTCCCAAGAGAAACTCTCGTCAAAAACAACCTAATGAGTCTAGCTCTCGGTCGTCTCGGCTCTTGTCTCCGTCTCTTAGGACGTCTAACGGGCACTCGCACAGGCCACAGGACACTAGCGCTCGTGAACGGCTAGGGTTCGGCATTCCCGAGTCTCTGTCCTACGGCGGTAACACCACCCCTGATGAAACGGAAGCCGTTCAACGGGCACCACTTTCACGTCTGGGCAGCGCTTCTTCTGTGGCTCCTGTGTTATCTAGGGCGGACAGCGACCTCTCTGTAGCTGATGTTGGCTGGCAAGAGCAGGTGCGGATCAGCAGAGAACTCAGCAAGGGTGCAGCAGCTCTCTTCGACGCTCTAGAGTCCAAGACTGCACGGACGAAAGGTGGCCCACATCGACGCTATGAAAACGAGCGGGAGCAAGATAGAACGCCTCTGGTGGACCACGGTTCTTGGGATCCTCATGGCTCTAGGCAACGCACTGCTTCCACAGGCATTTCTAGCCGACACGCTAGGCAACCCTCTTCTGACACGGTCTCTGTCTCTATCTCTGTGTCTACTGCATCTAGTCCACCGTCTGAGTACGAAGAGCATACTAGCCCCGTCTCCGACCACGAACCCGAGGAAGCCCCGCTTTCTCCGCCCCAGGTCCTGGTTCACGAGCCATCAACTTCCTGGAAGTCTACTCTCTCAGGCGACGTCTATCGCTCCCTCAGTCGACACTATGGCCCCGAGGAAATGGAACGCCAAGAGCTGGTCTATGCTTTCTGCACCTCGGAAAACGCTTTCGTCAGGTCAGCTCGGCGCGTCGTCCGTACAGTGCTACTCCCCCTGCGCTCGCGAGAGTCCCGTGCATGGCTCCCTGGGCTCCCAGCTGAGATCGCGCGGCTCTTTGACTGGATCGAGGACATCGTGAACTTGCACGCTGCGATCGCGCGCGCTCTCTCCACGGTGGCGGCGATATGGCAGACGGGCTCGATCGTGCAGCGCGTCGCAGGCACGCTGAAGGGCTTCGTTCCGCGCTTGGAGACGTACATGCCGTATCTGGCGAAGTTCGAAGGCATGAAGGAGGTTGTACGGTGGCACGCGGAACAGGACGGAGGGGAGTTCGGCGAGTATCTGAGGATGGCAGAGAGGGAGAGAGCGGAGGACGAGTGGCCCCTCCAAAAGTTGTTCGATGAGCCCTACGCAAGGCTGAGGAGTTACCTAGACGTGTTCCAGGTACGTCGTTCGCAAATCCTGATGATGAGTCAGACTGAAGGAATCTCTTAGCGTCTTTACGAGCTGACGCCTCGAGGACATTCGGATTACCTAGCGACGACGTCTCTGTTGTACTCAACTCGCACCGCCGTACGGGTGATGGAGGAAGTCAAGGCTCGCGAGGAGGAGTACGACTTCGTCAAGGACCTCTCGTCGCGCATCGACGGATTGCCGGTATCTCAAGCGCTCGCTAGGCGCTCCCGTCGATTGCTCTGGTTCGGCATGCTGGTACAAGCGGAAGAATCATCCCGGTCCGACGAGGGGAGCGCGCAGTACTCAAGCGGTACTCCGACGGCAGCCAGCGATGCTTTCTCCCCTCGTTCGAACCAAAATGCCCCTGGTAGGAGTCCAGCCCGTGGAGAACGGACGTCTGTGAAGCTGGCTTCAGCGATACGGGACTGGACTGCGCGGCGATCGCGTGTAGGGTCGTTCGGCTCTTCCGCGTCGTCCGCGCTCTCTGTGCAGACCTTCGACACCACCTCGACTGCATCGAGTGCGTCGCTTCTAGCGACTCCACGTTCCGACCACTATCCAGGAATACGCTCGCCGGGACAAGCTAGCTCGAAGGGACACGCGAGGTCTCCCCAGGCGCGCGCAACTCAAGGCACCCCTTTGGTCTCTCAGGCCGAAGAGGTACCGCTGAACGTCATGGTGTTCTCCGATCTGGTCGTTTTGGCTGTGCCGAATGCCACTAGTAACAATGGCAGGGCTCAGGACGGGGACCAGGAGCAACGGTCGCGTCTCATTGACAGTATCGGACTCTCCAGAATTATTGGGGTGACAGAGACCGGAGGTATGTGCAGAGAGATCGTCTCTGAACAACATCGCTGATACATATTATTTCCACAGAATGCTCTGTCCGATTGAGCCTCATCCCCATCCCGCCAGACCAGCTCGACACCGGCATCACAGTCGAGAACACTGCTCCGATCGACATCACGCTCTGCCTTCCACCTTCCCTGGATCCCACATCCAAACCCGACGACCTTGTCAAGGCGCTGCGGAAGTGTTACCACCACACAGTGCGCGGGCTGTCTTACCCGGCGCTGCCTGCCGTGATCACCGACGACCTCGAACTCGACACACGACAGTCGCTTGTCGGCATCTTATCCTCGGGGCTTCCGCTCCCGAAGAGTCCGTCGATGCAGTTCGCCACGGCTGCGCAGGGCGGAGGACCGGGAGAGCACGGGGAGAAGGAGGACAGGGCGCAAGGAGAGCGGGAGGAGCGCGGCTGGTGGACGCTCAGGTTCCAACAGGTCTTGAGAGAGTTCCAGAGGGAGGAGGTGCCCGTAGCGGTGGCAGGCGAGTGGGCGGTGGTGAGTGTTCCTGACTGAAAACCTTCTGAGAAGGTACTACCCTGGATATGATTGATATATGCGCGTTATAATTTCTCCTTACTGTGATACCGTCCCTACCCTTGTAGCTATTTGTTTCTCTGACATTGTCATCTGTTTGTATATTCCGAGCACGTACTTGGTACATATTTAATCTCGCCTACTCGTACAGCGCAGAATAATACCTCTTTCATGATTTTCCAAAACGTGTGCACCCCGACAGTAAGTTAAACCTTGGACTTGATCCACTCTGCAACGTGCACGGCCCACTCTTCGCCCTCGCCGCTGAACAGCGCCCAATGCGGACTGATGTGGTTATGCCCCTTCATAGCCTCGTACTTCACGTCCTTCCCTGTGCGAGCCCCCAGTGTCTTTACCAGTTCGCCGGTCTGATCCTTGAGCCGCTCGGGGTCGCGCTCGCTCACCAGCACGAAGACGTCCGGGAGCGACGCAATGAGCGCCTGATCCGCCTTCTCCACGAGCGCGATCGGCATGAACTCAAGCGCCGTCTCCTTCGAGCCGTACAGGTCCTCGAGCACGCCCGGGCGCGTGATCAGCTTCTCCCACTCGAAGCGGAACACGCCGCCCTGCGGGATGAGGCCGCGCGTCGCAGCGCGCACGGGCGAGCCGAGAGGGAGCACGGATGGAAGGAAGAAGAGCGAGGTGATGATGTGCGCGCCCGCGGAGTGGCCCATGAGGAAGATGCTCGGGTTCGAGAGCGCGAGCTCGGCGGAGGGCACGGCAGCGGCGACGGAGGCGGTGTTGGCGAGGAACCAGGCGATCGCGTCGCGGACGTCCTCGGCCTGTCCCGGGAACTTTACCAGCGGGACCAGGCGGTAGTCTGGGATCACGGTGAGAAATCTGGAGGTAAGTCGTGAGTGAGTAAGCGGGTGAGTAAGGCGGGGAGGAGGTGGCTTACCCGCGTTTGGCGAAGAATGCGCCGACGTTCGTGTAGCCGAGGTCGAGCGGCGGAGGGAACTGGCGAGTGCCCGAGTCGAAGCCTCCGCCGTAGATGAAGAAGAGGACAGGAGTAGAGCCTCCTGATGATGCTTCCGCAGACGGATAGTATACATCTAGCTGCATCAGGAGATGAGTTATGAGCCATCGGCTTTCGGTGGAAGGGCGTGACTTACGTTGTGCCTCTCCGTCTCGCCATAGCGGAATGTCTTGCGGGGCACACCTTCAATCTCGGCTCTGTGGGACTCTAAGATAGGTATGAAGGCGCCGACGGCTACGAAGAAGAGCAGAGGATGGTGGTTTAGATACCGGGTCGATGGGAAGATGATCGAGGGCTTCGCACTTACTAGGCTGGATTATAAGAGGGATCTCGGTGTCCGTCAGAGAAGCTACAACCTCCATGCTCGGCAGCTAGAACGGAGGGCTTGGACAGACGATGAGGGGCGACGAGATAGATCACCACCACAATAGAGCGGAAACAAAGGTCAACCTAGAGAGTCTGCCCTATTCGTTCTCTCATAAACTCGGCACAAGGGGTTTTCCAGGTTGCCGTGCAAGCGTTACACGGTCATGGGGTAAACTAGCAATTCCCACCGCTATCAGACGCGTACTGAGGAGGCCATCACAGCAAGTCGAGGTGCCGGTGACAGTGTCATCACAGGGAACACACAGTAGTATTAGGTCATTTTTGTTGACCAAACCAGCTGAATGCAGTCACAAGAGCCCGAGGAGGAAGCAGCAGGAGGAATCGAGGATGTAGGAGGAAGCAGAGGGCGCTAATTCAAGGACCGAAACACTGCGTGACGGATAAAGTCACAAATTCATCACGTATCTGTCACGAATTTGTCACAGGCAAACTCGACGCGCTTGGAGGCGAGCTCACCGTCCTTCTCGACGACGTCCTCGTCTAACTCCTCTCCAATCATGTCGAACACGATCGCATTGTACGTACCTTCAGACTCAAGTTTATAGATGTGTTTCTCATCGACATGGCGCAGATACCCGCTCTCAAACTTCACCTTTAGGTGTGTACGGGTCCATTACGCCCGAATGGCACATTGACGCGTCTGCGTTCATTAGCACGAAGGAGGCGCAGCCCGAAGAAGACCCATCTGTGTCTGCGCGCCTGCAGCGTCTGCAGAACAACTATGAGGACTTCGGTATGCGGCGAACGGTCGAAGGAATCCTCGTTGTGCACGACCACGGGCACCCCCACATCCTCATGCTCCAAATTGCCAACGCGTTCTTCAAATTGTACGTCGTCTTCCCGCACTGCATTCTTCGTCAACGGTTTTGCCTTCCTATACCACGTGGGAATATGCCGACTGAATCTCATGCAGGCCCGGGGACTACCTCAAGCCGGGCGAGGACGAGATTGAAGGCTTGAAGAAGCGCCTGGACGACCGCCTTGCGCCACCCACGGACTCGAAGCAGTTCAACGCGTCGCACGGCGTGGACAACGAGTGGGAGATTGGAGACTGCCTCGCGCAGTGGTGGCGGCCGAACTTCGAGACGTTCATGGTGCGTGTTTATGTTCATCTCGGCCGCGCGGCGGGACGCGCGGCGAACGATTGTGAGTGCTAAATGCGTGGTATAGTACCCCTTCATTCCCGCGCACATCACGAAGCCGAAAGAGTGCAAGAAGCTCTTTTTGGTGCAAATGCCCGAACGCAGTACGTCCCCTTCCTCCTGTCTCGCGGGCGGACCTAGGTGACTGAGGCTGAGGCGTTGTGGCGTGTTGCAGAGGTCCTGGCCGTACCGAAGAACATGAAGCTCCTTGCAATCCCCCTGTTCGAGCTGTACGATAACGCAGCGAGGTGGGTATATGCGCCTATATACGCCGTCTGCTCGTGCCTGACCGTTCACACAGATACGGGCCTCAACTATCTGCCATCCCTCATCTCCTCTCTCGGTGTGTACTGGCGATCCGACGCTGCTCACGCGCAAACATGCTTACGTGGTTTTCTCAGGTACAACTTTATTTACCAGTAGAGCGGCGAGGATCAAAAGTCCCGCTCATCCCTCCCTCCCTATCGTCGCTCGTAGCCTCCCGGAACCCCTCCTAATTGGTCGCCCGTTCTGCATCCCTCTGTCGTGTCTGTGGTTCCGCTCGCTGTCAATAGATCGCTGTCAGAATTGTACTACCGCGCTCGCTGAGCCTTTTGTGTATTAGTCGCCTTGCATATGGAAGAATAGTTCAGTACGTCCCAGTAGGAATTATGATCGTCTACTACAACATAGAAGTGGAGAAGCTAAGTGCTAAGGTTGAATTTGACGGGTTAAACAGTGAGCGTGATGGGCGCCCGACGCCATGCAACTCTTGCTTCTCGTCTACCATCGTCTCTCCGTCTCAGTCTTGCGCGCACACCAAGAACCTGAGGCTCTGGAGACTGGCATACACATGATTGGTTAACGCGGAAACGCAGTCTACCTCCTTAGCAACAACTCGACAATGCTCGGGTCCATGTTCCGATGCGTGTTAGCCTTGCGCTGTCCAGTGGCAACGATGAAACCTTGACCGAAACCTCGGTCATCTCACGCGTCTCTGTCAGGCCGGGCCCGGGGAAGGTCACCATCCGCGGGCTTTTCAAACCGTGACGGGGCACGTCTCACACGCACAAAAACTCGTGCCCACGACTCACAACGTCCTGCCTCGATGCCGACGTGAACACGAACCCACGACGCGTCTTTCGGGGAGAGAGAAAAGTGGAATTCGTTGGCTGGTGAGTGGTATCTACTTCCCCTGATATCAGCATCGGAAGTATCATACCTCCACAGAGGTGTGTATCGAGATGTTGCTTTGGCGACATATCGTGCCGCTGTAGGCAATGCATGTTTCCCATGACCTCCGCAGTCACGGCGTCTGCCGACCATCTGCAGCCTGCAGGTGCAGAAATCTCGTGGCAGGCTTTAGGACATGATCACCGCGAAGCGTCCTGGGCTACCATACGAGCCTTGAGTCGAGGCTCTAGGAGAGCAATGATCTGCCGTGTCAGAGCCTGTTCCTCGACCTTGCATAGCCTCGCACTGAACTCGAAAATAGAGCTGCATCTGCTCCCTGCCGGAGCTAAACACAGGACGGCAGAAGACGACCTGATGACTGCCAGATAAACTCCGCATGTCGGCTTTCCATAGAACCCGCTATCCCACCGTCTGCCAGTGCGCAGCTCTCGGCAACGAGGCGTGTGTCTTTCCCTCCTCATCCATCCTCGGGTTCTCTGGGCTCAACGCTCTGCCGTGATTCACTCTCGTCCTCGGTGCCCTCTGCGGTCGTGTCCTCCCACCATCCCACGCAGGCGCTCGCACTACGCCTCTTGAAGCACCTCATCGCACGTCCTCATTCGCAGACTTGTTCTACCCCACTACTGCGGCTCCTAATCCGTCCCGCGGACCCATCAGCGTGCGCCTCGCCGTGCGTTCTAGCAACGCCGCTGCGTCACGACCAGAAACGACGTGTGAGCCCAACACAGCACGGCATCGCACCTCCGCCGGCAACCGCATACAATCTCGTCCGCGAAACCGGGTCGGGGATGCTCATGCGGAGCGAGTTGCGACGGAACCATTTCTCATAACCATCGCCCGGCGCCTCGGACGTGTGCATAATCCCTGCCCGGGGCTGCGCCTGATCTTCTCTTTCCGTTCTGTCTGGTTCTGCAGCTGGTCTCCCTCTTGTCTTTCTGCCCCGATGTCCTCGACGACGCCCTCCCCGTCCTCGTCCCTCCCGCCGAGCCAGGCCTCGGGGTTCCCAGGAGGCTCGCAGTTTCCTGGAGGCCAGAATGGCCAGAACGGCCAGCAGAGCCCTCCTGGCGCGCCCCTGACGTCATCAGCGTCGCTGTACTGTACGTGTGCCCCCACCCTGTGATCCTGTCGCCTCGTTGCTGAGCGGAAACACTTCTTGTTCGCAGTATACACATTTCTGGGTGAGTTTCTACGTCCGCCCGCAGCCGCCATGTCGTGAGGTTGGACAAGTGGGCGTTGGTGCGTCGGATTTGTGAGCGGCGCGTAGGGCGCAGGCTGGGGCTGGGCCGCTCCGGGCGAATCGGGCGCATCCGGTACGCATTCGTACGACTGAGAGTGGTCGGAACGGGATCGGGCGCTGGACGAGGCTCGATCGCACAGCTGCGTGCGGGGCTCGAGCATCTCGACGGCGCCGTAAATCCCTAGTGCCCAGTCGCCTTCCGAGCCCGGGGGTGAGCGTATACATACCTCGCAAACGCGCCGTTGCCTCCCTCTTTCGTTCCCGATGACCTTACGCGAAGGTGCACACTCTCGTGGTCTCTATCCTCGGCCGCGCTCACGAACCCCCTCACGACTGCTGCTACGTCTGCCTCTACGCCCACACTCACGAATGCACCGACGCGCACACACACCCCTACGCTGATGCCCTCGTTCTCATCCCACGCCATGACTACTGTATCGACCGTTGCTGAATCTATCCTCATCTCAGCCACGCTCGTCCTCCTCTTGGTCGTATCTGCCACTATCATCGCCCGGTCATATGTCATCCGACGGCGACACCGCGCCCTCATCGCGGAGGCTATTGCGAACGGGACGTATGTCCCGCCTGTCAGAGTCCGCGTCGGGAGGAAACCGAAGATGTATGAAGTCCATTTGGTCAAGGAGGTGGAGGATGAGGTTGTCCGGGTAGGGGAGAAGGGGGAAGGCAGGCCCTCCCTCATCGAGAAGGAGAAGAGGAGAGCGGTGTTCTGGGATGGGCTTGTGGTGGAGTGGAACAGGATGTTGGTGCGTACCCTCTTGCTGCATCGTCTGCTTCTAGGCATTGACCGGTGAGTGATGCATATACGACGACATATAGCCCGTATCGTGCAGGTTGTTAAGACCTCCACGACCACTACCCGACACTACTATACCCACGCCCCCTTCACCTGCATCCCAACCTACTTCCCGTTTCTGGCGATGGCGCCTTCCCGGCAGGGGACACCGACAAACCCCATCTCCCTCGCCCTCAACTACCCCTTCGCCACCCCCCACATCACATCCGGTCGCCCCTCGACCATCGGCAGACCCCCGACCCTCCTCCACCACGATGCGCGTGCTCAGCCCCGACCCCTCGGAGAAATTCGCACGCACCCCAACACCAACGTCTTCACCCTCCCCACTATCCGCCGACGAGCACGTACGCGTCGCGGTGCTCATCAGCATGCCGTTCGCGATGTCGATGGCGGCCAAGAAGGCGAGCGAGTACGGCCACGCTGCGCCTGAGCTGCCATATATGGAGTTCGGCGTGTGTGCGGTCCCGCTCGAGCGACCCTTTGAGTCGGAGTCGCATACGGAGCCGCCAGCAGCGGCTTCAAATCCCGCTGCTGGGGAGGGGGCGGCCACGGGCACTTCTGGGCCGTTGTAGGGCACGGTGGGCAGCGCGCGGACATGGGTTTTGGGCCTTACGACTTTTACGAAAGGTAGCTGTTGTAATATATGGGCATTTGATTGACCCGTTGCGTGGTGTCGATCGCGCGCGACTGCCTGACTGAGCCCCAGCTCTTTGCGGTCTCACCTTCTAGAGACCGTCCCGAAGTGTTTAACGCCAGGCCGTCAGTAGCTTTGCTAACCTGGTCTTCAAAAGGTATGTCATAGTGTTGGTTCGCAGCTAAGAAGAGACACCCAATATTAGGATGTGATAGACGTTCTCGCCCGTAGATTGTACCCGAATTCGACCGTCGAAGCTGCATGTACAAGCTGTGCCATCTACCCGCCCGACCCGAGGCCCTTGGGTGCGCCTGCGTCCTCCTGTAGTCATAATCTTAACGGTGAGATACTTGAGTCTGGTAGCAGCCTACCTCGTGTCTTTCTGTCATCAATGACTTACCGTCTTTCAGGGCTCCGAGGTCCAGACACATACTTTTTACCTGTCGCCTTCCAGCAAGGAGCCTGCTCCACATCATCGGCGGGTGCCGTCGGCTTACTACTGATTCGCACGTCAGTGCGGTGTGCGCTTCGCAAGATCTACCATGTGGACTTGCGAGTGGGTGAATATTGCGTCTGACCGCAGGCGGCATCGTCGCATCGTCGCCGTTCCACAGATCTAGTCCACTCGAACAGAAGTCGCGGACGGGCACCTACACTTGCCGCAGTGACTGATTTCCGCCCGAATTTGGCCCCATACTTGACAGTGTCACCCTACGGTCTTCTATGCGAGGGCGCTCCGCTGCTCCTATGCCGAGTTCATGATTCTCGGACTGGCGATAGGCGGCTTCGGACGGCTAAGTAGTGCATAGAGATTGTCAATTGAGCAACATTTAGACAAACTCACAAAATTCGACGGAGGCCGTCAGCAGACGTCTCCATTGTGACTACTCGTTGCGTTCTTCTCACCCGCTGTCTTCTGTATCTAGACCGCTTGGGTTGCTCTACCCATCGCAAGTCCAGCATTGCCCTGAACATTGCCTATGGCGGTGATATTGTACATTTAATCTACGCGCATGTGCAACTCGCAGCTTGCAACTTTCGTGGGCGCCTAATGACCATATAAGGCAGGTACCTTTTGAAATCCTTGGAAACGCGGCCAGATCCCCCTGGCGAGTTGCAAGCTGCAAGTGAAAGTTGATAGTTGATAGTGAAACCTCGGCTAACTGAGGTCGGACTGAGGTCGTACTTAGGTCGCGCGCAGTTTCACGATCAACTACCAATTGCCAACTTTCTAATCTTATCTATCGGGCGCTTCTCTTTATCTCGCCCCAGATTAATCTCGTTGGCATCTAATCAACCTGCCACAGACTCGGACCCCTGACACCCCTCCTCAGGTTCTGCCTCCCTCCACTGCAAAGGCAATATCTCAGCAACCATAGGTCCTATTGGCTTCATTCTTTTTGTGGATAATCACCTGAGGCGACTGGAATATGTCTGTACAAACACTGTAATTAGTAAACAA